AAACTTCAGCTACCCGTATTTCTCGACTGAGACGTCAGTAGGAGCTGTAATTTGTATGGCAAGGAGATTGAGCAACCCTTCATTCATATTAAGGGAATTTACGCCCAGAAACTTTGTAGTTATTTATATTTTGGTTATGATAGAAAATATTCATTTTTTGGTGACGTCACACTCTGTCTCTTATACACATCTAGATGTGTATAAGAGACAGTTTTAATATTGGTATTTAGCGATCTCATAATGTGCAAGGTCTGTGTTTAGTACAGTCACCTAGTGAGTGGGTATTGCTAATTTTATCCCAGTTATATTTTTAGAGATAACATTACATAGTAGCATTAAAATGTTAAGCATTGATTTTTAATTTAAAAAAAAAAGTTTGTTTCACAATAAACATTTGCGTTCTAAATCCTGTATTGGAAAAATTAGTCTTATCTTATTTTTAAAATTGTGTAAGAAGTATTTAAATATACATGAACATGCATTTAAATGACATGTACATGCTTTTAAAATCGTATAAATGCTCTGGCTTCGGGGGCTTCCCCAGCCCCCACAGGGACCTTGCCCCTTGACCCCACTGGGGCCCTTTGGCCGGCCCCTGGACCCCACGCCCAGAACCCCTACTTGAAGCATGCTGGCTACGGGCCTGCCCCATGCCAATTATTTCAAATACGCAAGGGATTATATAAAAACATGTTATTGTAGTCTGGAGTTTCTCAATATGATTATAATTCCTTGTGAAAGTCAGCCATGCAACGGAAACATGTGCTTCAACAGTCGGATGGGTGTGAGCAATAGATTCAATAGCTAACACAGGATCCCTGTTGATCGCCTGGTCTGGACTTTGGAATGCACCTGAAAGAAAGAACTGTAGCTAAAAATAAGATTAGGCTATGGGAAAAGTTCTCTGGGCTTCCTGACTGGGAATTTTTCGTGTGAATGTTCTCAGGCCGACTAATATACTATACAATTAATGTTTCTATGATGAAATACAACAATCCGCACTCTGTACACACTCTATCCATAGCGTGTTTACGCAGGAGAAGAATTGTACTTTATTAGTAGTAGCGCATTATTTACTATTACTATATTTCTGTTTGCCGACAATGGTGTAAATAGAAAAACCTAGCTAACATATTTAAAAGTTAAAACCGTGGATGGTTCTTTTTTTACAACCCATAGCATATTTCATGGTAGTATTGGTCTGTGGCATTAAGTTCTAATCCTTTGCTGTGTAATAGGCATTGTTGTCGTGAAAACCGATGAGCTGTGTCTGGGCGGTTATTATTGTCATGCTTAGCTGCTCAGTCAACAGTCATTGGTCAATTTGTTAACGGGATTACCGAAAACAGCGTGTGGTTGCATAAACGAAATTGCAGTAACATCGTTTACCCGGTTACCGCGGGTAACGATCAGGAAACCGCGGTACACGACGTACAATAAAATTGGCACCATCCCTTAGGATGATTAATTTCATATCTATAATAAAATGAAATTAAAGCAATCAATTTAAAGAGATTATTTCTTCACTTTCTCTCATTTATTTCAAGTTTGTAAGAACATATTTTTTCAAATGTATAAATTTTAAGAACATATTTGCTTTCAAAACACACAGAAGAAAGATCAGAATGTGAATCAGAAGGTGTATCTGTGAATCTGTGTGTTACATGGGGACTTTCCAGGCTTGGCTTTCATACTTAATCAATGTACACATACCAGGTCAACTAAAAACACAAGTAGGTCAGATAGTAGTTGACCTTTGAACTTGCTGGTCATCATTCAAGAAAGTTGGGAGCTTTTAATTGCACGACGTAGAATGTAATGATGTCCCAAATAGTCATCTGCGTATTCAGAATGTTAAGGTCACCTTGTCGAGTAGATTCTGGAACGCAATTTGGCCAAATGTACGTATGCAGAGAACGTAGGATGCCAGGGAGGATGGCCACGCATGAGTGATTCCGTTCTAGCTCCCTAA